TCCGGGAGCTGAAGAATCTCTTAGCTTTCCAACGGCAAGCTCAAGCATCACTTAGCCCTACCCTTTCCAGGGGGGCTTGCCTGGCGCATCTTCGAAGTGGAGCTGCTTGTGTGTCGGCGAGGCAGCTTCCCAAAATCCATCTCCATTATGCCGAAATTGCAGGGCAACCCTCGGACACCCTTTGCTTTGGGCAGGAGCATGACCATGTATCCAGTTGGAAGCATCACCACCAATCCGCCCATCCAAATCTCCAGTTGCCCCTAATGCCCCCATCTTCAAATTCCCCCATCCCTCCATCCCTCTATGCTCCTCAACAAGGAGGGGAGATACCGAGCTCCGGGCGCATAAACCTGAGCGCGGCATCTGCAACATCACTAAAGCAAAATGTAGAAAGCTAGCTTGTGGCCCCACTTGGGGAATCTGCAGGCCCATGCAATCATTGACTCGCAAAGAAAAACAGACCAAATCCTTGAGGCAGACCAGCAAAAGAAGTCGCTTCAACGCGAGGAAAAGTGTCGAATCAGGGCTCGGCCAATCGCTCACGGTCGTGTAAATATCCCAGTAGCAAACAAGAAAGGGTATGAGTCACGAGTCCCCCAGCCCAACGATTCGAAAACACCTAGTAGGTTTGCCGAAAGCAAGTTCGACCACACAGGTTGGCACTAGCACATTGCAGTGATCGACCACATCGCTGTGAGCTTGGAGAAGGAGAATAGCCCCTCCAGTCAAACCGCACTGGACCTTTCTGGATTGCTTCACGCACTGCTAGTTTTGCCTTCAACTTGACCTCCCTTGTTTGCCTTCAAATTGTCCGAGGGGGTTCATGTCCAATGGACAAAAAACACACACTGGGCCACCGGAAGTGCCCAGCCCGACTCAAGGATCCACTGCTCTTTTCCTCAATCCACAGGTTCTCCTATTTGGCTGTGACAAAAACAATATAACGGTTGCATCCATTCGATGACTTGGGAATGTTCTGGAGGACCCTACTACTCAGGGCTCTCCTTTAAGTGGCAAGTCATGTCAAATGCATCTGCGCATCATCCTGCGGAGTAATCCGAAGTAAGCAGTAGGGCTTCTCCTGTGATTGCTCCACAGCCTCCCTCTGGAAAAGACATTGTAAACTTTTCAGAGAGACTGCCAAACCCAAGACATCCCAAAACCCGCAACTGCACGCACCCATCCAAAAGTATCCCCACCCACTTGCTCCCCTTCCCCAGAATGCCTGCAACACAAACAACACTCAACCCCAAAACAGAGCAGGAAAAAAGGAAAGGATGAACAACAAAACAAACCAACCTGAAGACCCCTTATTTAAAAAAAAAAAAAAAAAAAAAAAACTATTCAAACTTGCTAAAGCCTCGGAAGCTTCCATCCCGGCCGAGTTCCGGGCGTGCCGGGGCCCAGCCGGACGGCCACGCGGCCCCACAGCTCCGGTGCCAGGCTGGACCAGCGGCCTGAGGGCTTGGGAGACGCTTCATTCGCCAAAACGTTTGGGCGGTTGGGACCAAAATTCCACGGACCTCGGCAACAACATGCGCTCTCCTTCTTCAGGGGGGGGGGGTCAGAAAAAAAAAAGAAGGATTCTCAGGGTTTTTATTGCTGGTGGCCACACACAATCCCCACTTTAGCTGTCATACGCACCGCCAAAGCATCCCTCCCATTCAGAGGAATTGTGCATCAACATCAGTGATTTGAATGAATAGCTACGCTCAGTATGTGTTTCACTTTGGTAAGCATACTGAGATCAAACGGTCGCAGCGGGAGGTATCATTGCATTTGCTTCGATTGTGTGGTCTGTGCACTTCTTGCAATGGGTGTGCTTCGCGTCGATGCCTTTTCAACGAGGTAGAATTGCAACTCGGACGTGTATTAGATGAGCATATCATGAGTGAACCCCTTGGCAAAGCGATACAACGAATCGAAGCTGATAGCCCTGAAAGGGAACAGCTGAATCACCCTGACCCGGCTTGTGCTTCTTTCCTGCTTCACATGAAATCATGCTTTGAACTTTAACATCCGGCAAAAAGCAAGGCTTGGCGTGGTTTTTTTTGTCTGGATCCTGAACACCCACTGCCCCTTCGACTGTGATGTGAGCGGTCAGAACAAGTTGCCCATAGGTTGCCCTTCCGGGAACGCCAGTGAGTTCCCCCGATTGTTTGTTCCAAATCGATTCTTGGCCTTCCCAAATTGACCATAAACCATAGAGCGAACATGGTCACCGAGCTTCTTTCGTTTTCTGGCGCCCACGTGTTTGGAAGTTTAGGGACAGGCATGGCAACCGTATAAGGGGGAAGCAATCGCAAACAAATATGTTCAGCGGAACCATGTTGGCCTGGGACCAAAACGGAAACCAACGATCCCCTTGAGGTCCAAGCAGGGCAGGGCGCCAACAGGCTCCTCCGCCCTCAGCGACGCGACCCGGTCATGCACCCGTCGCGGGGCTTCGTTCTGCAGTCCAGGTTCGGAAGTCGACATTTGGCGGCTGGGAACCAAAGAAAACGCAGCCGGTTTGGCCAGGCTCGAAGCCATCTTTCTGATTTGCGGACGACCCGTCCATACTTCTCTCTTGCATTGCGCTGCGATCGATGTCGGAGTGCTTGTGTTGCAAGAAGCCGATATAAGGGGGCTGCACCCGGGCCGAAAACATGCGAACTCGTTGGTTCAGTGTCGCTAAAGGCGACCAAGTTCACCGACATGTCAACAAAGGTAGTGACCCGATTTCGAGACAGGCCCTTCAACGCAGCACAGCCCAATCAAAAGCAATCGAAAACAAGTCACACAAACCCAGAAGCCAGACTCGGGACCCCAAAGAGGAGCATTGTCACTCCAAACGCGACCCTATACAAGGATCTGCCCCAGATGCGGGACAAATATGTTGGTGGGGCCCCTTGCTGGCATGTGAAGTCTAGAGAGCCGTGATCCCGCCCTCGCTCCCTCCCTCCCTCCCTCCCTCCCTCGCTCCCGCCCTCCCTCCCATGGTTCTAAAATTGAGGTCAGCTTCGCAGAACTTGAGACGTGGTTTCCTGGAGCACTCCGAACTCGCAAGAACATGTTCTTGCATACACGTCAGCCTGGAGGCTCTGAGCGACTGCCTATAACAGAGTCTGAGTTTAATGACCCAACGCGTTTGCAAGGCGCAACCAGTTGCGAAAACGATCAAGTAGCCCTTGAATGAACGCCAGCCACCCTGGCGCGCTTCAGGCGCTATCGGACCGTTTGTTGGCAGAAAAGTCAACACGGATAATCCACGTGCCGCCGATGGCTTGAGCCCAAAACTGAATCCGCTTGAAAGCCAAAGCCTAGCTCCACTGCATGTCGACATTCAACATTGGGGGCTCGACAAGCGAGACCAACAAAACGACATTCAATGAAAGAGAGGGAGGTGTCTCCTGTTTGGTGCGAAGCTATCCAATGTTGGTGGCTCTCGATGGCTTTGTCCTATATTTTCACACATTCTTCAAATCAAGGAGAATCTTTGTTACCTCCCAAGGGCCACAACTGTGGAGGAACCAAGAACAAATGGGCTACGCAGACCGGGGACATAAGGTTGGACCTCATAGTGGGTCAACATCAAGATAAGCCACTTGATTGGGGGGCTGGGTCCAAGTTGAGAAGGAAAGAGCTCAGTCACGTTGAGAAAAGCGTGATTCTACCCGATCACCGTGAGGCATTTTGGGAAGAAAGGTCCAGAAATAATTTAGAGGTCGAGGTCAGAGAAACATCAATCAAGATCAGAGAAACGCCAGCCCAATGTGAAGAAAAAGGCTTGTGTTATCACCCCCCAGGCTAGCATCAGTATGGAAACAAATCCAGTCAGGCAAAAGGGGAGCCTGTATGCGTCCATACAAATTCTGCAGCAGGGTTTGCCTAGGCAGCTTCGCATAAGCACCATCGCCACCTTGCCGCCAAAAGGCCGGCTTGCATTCTGGTCGCAGCACCATACCTGCCAGGTGCAGGCAGGTCGATCCTGAAAGCTTCAAATTGAATGCGGAGCTTAGCTCTGAATATATCAGTCTAGTAGCTTCTGTCAAACGACCAGCTTCAGATTGGGGGCAGCCGAATGCCCATGTCTGAATCCAAGTGCCATCCCCAAGTTGTTGGTTACCTTTGGGGCTTGTCTCAAAATGGTGGGCACGCCAACATCCTGTATTTTCGTTTGAAGGTTTCCTGGCTGGCTGAGCCCAGCACGCCATGACTCCATGGCTCCATTGGGGCGATGCGACTTCGCCCACGGACGGCGATTCAGTGCTAAAAGCGATGCGATCGATCGATCGATCAGCGTTGAGTTGAGTGGCTGGGTCTGACTCGCTGAATCCTTTCGCGCGCCATCCAATCTCATTGGGCTGGCTCCTTGATCTTTGGAAGCTGCACGAGCAATCCATTCCAATAGCCAAGATGAAATTCCTTGACTTGCGGTTGTTTCCATTCGCTCTCCCTTTAAGCCAAACCAAGAAGGGCAAAACCCGCGAAGAAAAAAGACATGCCCACTTGCAGCGTCTCGAGTTGAGCGGCTCACCTCCTTTCTCTGGCGCCTAATAAGTTGGGCCCGCCGTGCGCACTACGAAGCACCAGCCGCGGCTAGCAGCGCAGTTTGGCCAGGAAGCGATTCCAATCCCCCCCACCTTTCCACCCGTCCGGAAGCTCGCGAAATCGCAACATCCAGATCTGGAAGCTCCCCCACTTCCTTGATGTACAACATAGCCAGCCATGCAGTAAACCAAACAAAGGTCAGCTGCTCAATGAGACTATACAAATATCGCAGTGATTGGGAATGCTCCGACTTGGCAGGGCGTACAAGGGGCGTCAGGTTGGTCGAGGCTAACCAGGAATTTGTTGGCTACATCATTGCACGTCAGGCATCTGCACATTGTGCTTCCAGATTCTTGAGTTGAGCAGAAACGTTCTCAGTCAAACTGTCGAACGTTGCTTCCTTGGGATCTCTAGAAACGTGCCTCCAAAAATGAACGATCCCTTTGAATCCTAGGTCCTGTTGTGTCGTGGCAACAGCATCATGCATGCTTCAAGGTGCTCTGTATGTCACAAAAACGCAGTCCGCAGCGCCCGGTTCACAGCTTGTCATGAGACTCGAGGAGAACCTGCCAGCTCGCATGGTGAGCATGGAAAAAAGCCGACCTGCTTGCATGGGAGCTCTGTTTTCTTGATCAGGTTTCTCCGATCAAATTTCATTGGCAGTCGGCTCCCTGTCGGAAGTGGATGGCCCGAAAGTATGAATGGCACAGCCCGACCATCGTCGTGCGTGGTGCGAGGGTGCGTGGGTGCGTGGGTGCCTGGGTGCCTGGGTGCGTGGCTGCATGGCGTGGCATGGCGTGGCGTAGCGCGGGGCAAGGCGCGCCCAAAGGCGGCAGGCAGGTGGGCGCGCGGGCGGGCGAGCGGGCAGCGGCCGGGCGGGTGTGCGTGCGTGCGTGCGTGCGCGTGCATGCGTGTGCGCGTGGGCGTGTGTGCGTGCAGTGCTAAGCAACACGGACGCACTTGAGCGGGTGTGCTCCATCACGTAACCATTTTGGCCCCGAACCGCCCCCGCAAGACCTGAATCGCGTTTCGTGCTGCGGGTCCTCACCAGCACGACACCAATTGGCAAGGCTCCAGGGTGGGCGAAGTTCCGCCTCCAAAGCAGAGGTTCTCTCTAATCAGTGATCCCTATCATCAAAGAACACCTCTTAGATGGATGGGGTTTGAAGGAAGCGTCGTGGCCATTTCGTGGTGCTTGGGTCGTGGCTGCTCAACGTGTGCCCAGTCGAGTCAAAAGGACCTCAGGAGCGGCTGCGGCTGCGGCTGCGGCTGCGGCTCCGCCGCCGGCGCCCGCGGAGGGTGTTGCACCTGAGAGCGATGGCTTTGGAAAAGAATCGTCGAACAATGGCGACGCAACAAAGGTCCGGAAAAACGAGTGGAACATGAGTCGCCCAAGTGGAACCCTCTTGTGGGTGTGTCCGTTTTTGCAGGAAACCTGGTTGGTAGTGGTGTTCGCCTCTTTGTGGACATACCCACATCAGCTTCCTGGAGGGAAGCTGGACAGAAATGAACCGGTTTCCTCCAAATGAACTGTGACCATCCGGTAAAGGGCTCTTGGGGTCAAGTTGCATTGGGACAACCTGCCTGGCTTGCGAACATGCAGGCGTCCCTCGCTTGGTCAGCCATAGCTCAGGTTCAGGGGAAGCAAAGGCCATCATTGGTTGTCCTCCGTCCTCCCCACAATTTGTCCACGGGCAAGTTGTGCGATTGATGATTCATGACCAAGATGCCCTGATAGCATCCATCCAACCATCTCTTGGGTATGAAGGTCATGAACCCTGCAGTGGGCATCATTTACACAGGCCTTTCTGTCCACCCTTGGGTCCCCTTGAAGCTCATAGCCTCCTTTTGCGGGAAGCTGCCAGGGCGCTTGAAGCACTCGGTGCGGCGGGCAAAGTTGTGAGCGTTGCACGACTTGCAGTACCTCAGCTGGGAACGGAGGGGGTCCTCAGAATTCCCCGAGCTTCATGGAACAGCTGGCACCCAAAAGCAATTTTGAGAACCCTTCGAGATGTTCACCTTAAGGGACCCAGCGAATCACCAAGATCTTGGCGTGGTGTCTGAAGCAGAGTGTTTCGGTTTCTGAACTGACGTGAGTGGACAGCTTCTGGACATGTGCACTCCACGAAAATCAGAAGACCTGAAGAACAGTGTGCCACGTGGATACTTGCCCACACAAGACTGGCATGCTTCACCATCAGAAGCAACATGTTCTCGGTTGAGGCAGATCGACAGCAACCCCAGGAGCAGACCTGTCTACGCCGGGCAACACCCTTAAGTCCAAAAGGACAACATCTGAAACGTTGGAGGAAAGCCAGCTGTCCATTTGAAACTCCATCCCACCCGTGGATATGTATCGTGCTGACTCAAGAAGAGCCTTTGTTTAGCTCCATCGAGATGGGCCAGTGGTCTGGAGGCAGGTTGCAGCACCTTCAGAGAATCTTTGCCAACAGTTGAAGCAACGGCAACGCAGAGGTGAATTCGGGGGCGTTTGGGACCTGCTCGCGGCGAATTTTCAGGGCTTGGTCCAAAACACAGGCCACCGGTGTTTGGCAAAGTGACCCCTTTCCTGTTCCGACCCAGCGCCCTGTTTCCTGCGGGCAACCTGCAACCTTTGCCTGCCAAACCAAAACAGAAGCGGTTGGTCGCTTTTTGAGTGCACGCCGTTTCGATGGTCGGACGGAAAGCGAAAAGGAGTCAATTGAGGGCTCGGTCCTTTTCCAGACATGTGCATCACCCCCGCGCTGTTGCAGCCAAGCCGCCAGTCCCCATCCCTCACCGTCTCTCCTGGACCAACGGTTTGATCTTGCGTCAGGCTCAGGAATCCTTTTCTGAGCAAAAGTGGTCAAAGTGAAAGCGACTAGACTCAAGTTCTTGTGGAGAACAGACAAATCGCGCAGTGCATGCAAGCATCCTTTCCAGGCGAATCCCCACCGCAAAGGATGGCTGCAGCAATGGAACCCAAGATTAAGACACCATGTCGCGGCGTCCTGTTTTGAAGGTGTCCCATTTTGCAGCAAAATGTATGATGTAGGGTCGGACGGTCGACATTCCCTTTCTTTCCTTTGAGCCAGCTGACCAACAACTGGAAGCTGGTATTTGTTGCTTGGTCACTATGAGTTTTGCAAACAACGCCTTGTCTCCACCGGCTGCGTGGCGGCTTCTTTTCACAGAGGCCCATCAGTGTGAGGCAGTGTCAGCTTCGAGGATCACCCACCCTCCGTGCGTTTCCAACAAAAGTGCTGGTACCCCAATGCCAATGTTTCCAAACACAAGATGCATTCAATGAATTGATTCGAGCCAGTTCCCAAGTTGTTGAAGTCATTGAGATTAAAAAAACTCAAAAAAAAAATCTTCCGCCATCCCAAGCCTCCCCTAGGCGCGGATTCCACGTAAACGTTTGCACGCGCAATTCGTCCGAGCCGCCGTCCGGGGGCCCCTTGTCCCGGACTGGACTCCGCGAGCGGCTCCGGTTGAAGGAGTCCTCGATCTTCCTCAAGCGCTCCAAAAACGAAAATGCGAAGATCGGGGAGTTGGAGGTCTCTAAATTGGCAACTTGCCCGAAAGGAGAGGTCTGGAAAATTGAGAACTACAGCACCTCCTTTGTCACCAAGTTGGAAAAAGGGGCGGATGAGAGTGGCTCAGAAAGGAGGAAATGTCACAAATTGATTGAAACTGGGAAGGGGGTTTTCCAACAATGGAATGGACAAATGATTTTCTCAAGAAAGTAGGCTTCCAACACCCTCCCGTCCACTGGCAGTATTGTTGCAAAAAGGGTAGATGAGGAGTGTTCGAGAAGGAAAGACCCCGATTTGGAACCCTACGCCCATGAGCAGGGTTCGCAAAGGGTCGGTGATTGCTGGTTTCTGAAGTGCGGGTGTGGTACCGCTACACCAGCTCACCTTGGAATGGGGTGGGCCTTGGATTTCAGCGGCCTTTTCAGGCGATGAAGGGCCCCTTTGCTATTAAACTCAAGGGATGAATTTCTTAGCGGCCTTTTCGGGCGATGAAAGGTCCCTTTGCTAAGAAATTCAGGGGGCTGGGTTTCTTAGCATCCTTTTCGGGTGATAAAAGGTTCCCTTGCTGACACATTCAGGGGCTCAGTTTCGGGGTGATGAAGGCCTTTGCCAAGAAACTCGGGAATTCATTCCCCTAAACAAAGACAAGGTGAAGAAATTGGCTAAATCCAGCCCCCTGGCTCCAGAGGGTAGAAACCTGCTCTATAGACGAAACGGACGCTAAGAAATTCAGCCCCGCTGGGACTCAACCAACCGATTTCTTATACAGCGCTCGCACTGTAGATCTGGGGCCCGGGCTTGATCCGTGAGATCACCACGGCGCTGGCATTCCGCGCATTCTCGATGACCTCAGACAGCGTGGAGGCGCTTGCCGGAGCAGGGCTGTCGCCATGCGGAGCAAATGAGAAGCACCAAAAATGCGAATCTGAGTTTGACATGTGCCAAGGGAAGGAACAAGATGTGGTGCCCTGAAACGATTTGCGCTGCGTCTTCGTTGGCCTTAAAACCTTCAAGATGGCTGAGTGCTGTTTGGAGGGAGTTGTTCACACAGAGCAAGCGGGCTGTCTCTTTGCAGATAAGAAATGGGGTAGGGATCCCACTTGCCTTCGACCACGCAACACGGCCTTTTTGGAGGGCAAAAGAAGCTGGTCCGGGACTTGTTTGAGTTGCACCTGCCTGCTGCCTTTATCATGGCCTGACGCTGCCTTCTCCCTGTGTCGAGCACGTTCAGCTCCGTGTTTTCGTGAAGTGGCAATATTGCTGGAATCGGGATAATTATTCTCTGCACAAAATAGCAGTGCATCTAAAACCATGAACTCCGCGTGAGCAACTCTCTTGCACGTTGCCACCGCAGTTGAACAGTGACCTGCAGTATGTGGTTCAATCCCAAGTCACCGATCAGAAGCTATTTGATTTGTACCCCATTTCAGCCAGTGTTTGCTAAGCACGCTTCAGATGGGATGCAAGGCGTGGAACTTGAAGGAACCGAATTGCCAAGGCCACCAACTTGACCCAATGAGTCTTACCGTTTTCCTTTCGGAGCCCAACCAGTAGAGGCAGAGTTAGTGATGCCTTCCTTGCAGTGGGACCAGCACGGCACCATGTGAGAAAAGCCCAACAAGCCACGTCGGCCTTCTTTGACAAGATCGCATGACAGCAAATCACTGGAAGTAAAACGTGATGGGAACCCCAGCTTGACAATCCTGGAGGGAAATAGGTGGCGTGCCGAACTCGCGCATATCTCGACTCCGCGGTTCTGGTATTGCCGCAATGTTTGATTTCCGGCAACTTGGAATGTAACGAAGCATCCGGGAACACACTTGTTGATCTGCATCTCTGTTCTGTTGGATCGTTCCCTCTGGCGGCCCCGGACGTTCCAGCCTTGCTCGATGCAGGCATCCCGCACCTTGCAAGACTAGGGGCCTCCCTCCTTGTCCTTGGACGAGCCTTTCTGGCGAGACCCGGGCTGGCCCAGGACGGCTTTTATGACTCAACGGTTGATTCTCTCGCCGCTTTTGGCCGCCGCCGGCGAGAAGGTTGGATGTCCATAACCGGCTTTGATGGAGCGGGCGCATCCCCTTGAGTGCTTCAAGACCAAGAAAGCCATTTCTGGGCGTGTCCTTCTTTACATCTGCTACCACTCCCTGGTCGATCGCGGAGCGCCTCTTTGGAGGCGCCTCTCAATCTGGCGGAGGCGGACTCATTCAGCTCGTTCTCTCTGATGAACCTGCGAGCGCGTCCCCTCGCAAAGTAAATATGCGACTTGACACTTCTGAGAGCAATATCAAATCAAAAATCGGTGCCCAGACACAATCCATGCGTGCTGGTCAAATACTTGGGTTCTCCTCGAGATCCTCTCACCAGCAGCCCCGCTAAGGGACTTTCCTAGCATTTCTTTGTCAGCCTCCTCCTTGGTGGCTTGGTGCTTGACTATTTGCAGGACACAAGGCTGGCTTTCAGTCTCAGGATTCAACAGCAAGAAGGCTCCCCAAACCACCCACCAGAGGCACCTACCACGTCCTGCACTCAAAGAACACTTATTGAACGTCTCAAGAACGTCTCAACAAAACACGTGAGGCTCACCAATTGCTGTGCTTTGCGATTGCTTGCGATTAGCAGGGCACGGTTTGCAGAGAATGCTGCCCGCAGTCAAGGCCTGATGTCCAAATTGGCATCATGCTGCTCTTGTTACCTTGCTTCTATGTTGCTTTGTAGGCCAAGGCCGAACTGTAAAACAAACATGGGCATGGTGAAGCTAACCACAAAAACTTGGCCCTATCATCATGACTTGCAAAGAACTTCGAGCATAATCAACCTCGACTCACACGTATGCAGCTGACTCAGGCCCTCTAAGCCCACGCCCACATCGGGACCTGCCTTTCTGGTGGATTGTAAAAATGAATTGAGAATCCACGAAACTCCTGTCAGAGCTTTCTTTGCTCGAGACAGACCCAGCTTCAAATCAGCTGGTAAAAGGTTGAGTTCCGAAACGCGACCAGAAGCTTGGGCACTCAAAGCGACTGTCTTGACAAACTCCTAACCCCCAGCCCGCGCCCCGCGCCTGTCTACAGTGCTTCCCCTCTTGCCACCCCCGCGCCGCCGCCGCCGGCTACGATGACGCCGCCTTCTCCTCGCGTGCGGCGAATATGAAGGCTCACGAACATCCGTACCAAGCAAAAACATCCTTGTCACATTTTTCTATTTACGGCCTGTGCTCCAGGACAAACAGACCCCCATCAATGCGAGGCTTCGGTCAAAATCACCTGAGTTTCGTCCCGTTCCTAGGCACCTCCACCTCTCAGATCTAAGTACCGGGCTTTCGCCTGCGTTCCCGGGAGGGACTGCGGCTGTCACTGTAACTGTAGCTCTCCCTTGGCCGGGCGAGGTCTTCTGCAGAACAGAACCATACCTTTAGAGCAAACCCACAATCAGAAGTCCAAAACAGGTGTTACTCGGCACCTTCTTTGGGGCCGCTTCAAATAGAAGTTGAAACACAAACCGAGACCCATTGTCCAGGGTGCACAACCAATTTGGAGATAAACTCAAATTGGCGGTGTCCATTTTTCCTCGACCAAATGACTGGATACATCATGTACGTCAAGCTGACATCCCTCAAACAATGACCCTAATGGTAAGTCAAGAGCGATAGAATAACCACCCCCCCAAGCAGTCAAACCCCCATAACCGTTTTAACGGGCCGCCACTCAAAAACAAACAAGGCTGCAGCTCGCGGCGCCGAGCCATGAGGAGCTAGTGCCTGCGAGTGAGAAATGCCAAGGTTTTATCACCAGATGCCCTACCCAAGGCATTTCATGGGGATGGGCCCAAGGAGAACCCTTGGTTGTCCCCAAACCTTTGACTTCACCACACGCGATATCTGCACACGATCACCAAAACCTTGCCTGGCCCAATCCGCAAGGCACATCCTGCTGAGCCAAAAGGTTGCCTGAGGAACGCAAAGCGAAACTCCGTTCCCACGGCAGGTTACTGTGAATAATCAAAAAAAACTATGCATCGGAAGCATCGCAATACGGAAATGTCAAGTAATTTAAAACACACTCTTTGTCTTTACAGGACAACAACATGGTCCATGCATGTCGTAACAATTGTTCCGCGTGTAAAAATATGAGATACACAAGCTTGGGAACGTTCCCACCGCCTTTACCCCGGAGTCCGTCCGAAGTCGACCCCAACGCCACCCAAAACAAGGGCTCAGCAGCCTCAAGAGTTGTGAGGGAAGAAGAACCCTTTTGTTGTGTACATGTTAGAACTTCAAATGTCGAGTTGGTAGGCCAACAACGTCGCGCAGAACTATGGTTGGTATTTTGTCATCACTGCCCTCCCCGACACTTGTGAAATCATTCCACCCTTTTCACTTATGATCTTTCGATGTCAAATCCGGCATCGCCTCCGATGTTGAAAGTCTTGGACACAACTTTGGAATCCCGCCAAATCACCCAGGGAGGGGACATGGGCAGGGATTGAGCCATACCTTGTCAGACACCCCAATGCACTTAGAGTTACCCCAAGCACTAGGGCGCAGCAGCACGTCCGCGCACACGCCTGGTGCACCACACGGGATTGCGGGGATCGTTGACTTCGTCGAAACCCTCTATAGCCTTGTTGCGGTTGTACTCTCAGCCCGCGGCCACGGGGCAACCCTTGACAAAGAGATTTGGAGCATGTGTTAGTTTCTGAAGGCTTGGGTACAAATCCAGCATTGAAGGTGAAAAAAAACTACTTAGTCTTCTGTATAGAACCGTGGCTGACGGAGAAAAAAAACACCAGAGGACACACGTTTTGGTTGCTTGTACTTGCGAGACGTGTTCCGGAAGGAAAAAAACGCATTCGGAGCACATTCGACGCACAACACAACAGTGGCCCGGCGGTGGCCCGGCCCGCGTCAGGCCCGCATTGGGCCGCATTAGGCCCGCGTTAGGCCCGCGTTAGGCGCGGCGGTGGCCGGAGCTGGCCCGGTAATGGCCCGGTGGGTGTTTTTTGGATTGGAAGCCTGACTCCTGAAGTTCCGGAGCAAGTGTCGTACCGGCACCTCTAGAAGCTGTTCAAACGAACATTGGCCAGGAGTGTGGTGAAAAAACCGTGGTTTCTTGCACAGGTGTTCTTAAAGGTGCCTAAAAACAAACACTGGCTGCAATACAGACTGTTTATCAAGATTTTCTATCTGTGTTACCGCCATTTGCAGGATCAAAACAATGACATCGATAACAAGCTTGGCAGGCTGCCCCTGCTTTCTTGAGTGCAGTTGTTTGAGAAGATTAAGTCAACAATTTTATGTAAAGGCCCTGCAAAAAGCATTTGGGCTGTTTGTGGTCCCATGTTGCAATGCAAGATCTGGTTTTAAGTGCTATAGCACCAGTAGCCGCTAGCAAGTGTATTCAAAGCCAAGAAGAAAAAGGAGAGGATAAAATGAGTAGAAAAGCGTGAAGATAATGCATCTAACAAGGGCTTAGAAGAAAGCTTAAGCCAAAAGCTTGAAACCTTGAGTTAAGGCATGTTGCACTGCTCCTAGCTCAAACCCAAACAAGACCACCCAAAAGAACAATGCAAGTCCAAAGCGGCCGCAGTTCTTTTTACAGGAATTGCTAAAAGTAGCACTGCTTCCAGGGCACGGGTGCGCCTGGAGCAGAAGGTGCGTTAACCCTCCGTGAAACTTAAAGGCAAGACAATGCGTGTCCTTGCAAATGCATGCAGTGCGCGCATGGCGTGGCAGGCGTGCCCACGCCCAACCAGCAGACCAGGGTCTGTAGCCGTTGGCAAGAGCCCCAAGGTGGCATCAGCAGCCAGCGCAGTACTGCGGGCTAAGACTAAGGCAGAGAACAAGAATCCAAGAGCTGCCGGAGAAGCACGAGGTGCTACAGAGGTGGACGCTGGGGCAAAAGTACCGGCGCCAGCCTTGGAAGATCATGTCTTGCTGATGGACCAAGTTGTCGTTGCCCATAATGCAATTTTTGGTAACATTTATGTTGCGGCATTGCTGGCAGACAACCGCGTACCGGTAGTAGCAAGGATCGTCCTTGGTCGCTAAAGGCTCACATGGCCATTGCTCATCTCGCACAACCAAAAACAAAACAGCTCTTGTCAACTCTATGACAGCCAAGCCGCGGTGCAATAAAATGCTGCTGTCTCTGTCAAATTTCGACAAGTCATGTTGATCATCATAATCTTTAGTCGTTACATTTACAAAACCCGACAACTTGCCTACCGGCGGATCATGTTGGACAGCTTCTTTCATCCGCTTGTCTGGCCAAAGTTGCCTTGGGGGGCGGCAACTTTATAACGGCGCCTGGTGGAAACTGCCGCAGCACACATGGCGGCGGCGCCTTGGTTGGCAGATGCGCCGGCTGCACGCAGGGGGCTTTTGCCTTTGTCTTGAAGGCTGGCGGCTGGGGTTTAGCAGGTGTTTGCGTGAAAAAAACAAAGTTGGATGCTGCTAAGCAGGCGCAGCCGGCGCACAAGAAGAGACCGCGGAAGTTGGAAAGCTTGGCGGAGGCGAAGGAAACCCGGAGACTTTGAAAAAGCGCTCAGCCGCTAAAACAGCCAAGGTGGCAACGGCGGGCAAGCTGCCGCGGCCTTCCAGCACGCACATGGATTTGCGTGGCAACATTGCACACGCACGCTCCCGGCTCTGGCACATGCCAAAAATCATAAGCATAGCCATACCCATTTGTCGGCTGCCAGGCAGGCTGGTGCTGTTGTAGACGCTTAGCCGGGTATGTAGAATGTTGCCATGGATGAAAGTTTGCACCATCTGCCTACCTTTGGTCTGGCTTTTACTCGTCCTCTGCAAGTTTGCTAAGCAGCAGCCACACCTTTGGTCTGGCCTACGCCGGCTTGTAAATGCAAAACGGCCGACGAAAGTTACTTGGCACCTGGCTTAAGGCTGCCGCTTGGCCGGCAGCTGCGGCAGCCGATCTTTGCAAACTCTCTGCTGTTGGACGCTTGCGGCAGCAGCCGCCACCGGACATGGCACAGCTGCCAGCCCGTTGTCAATGGCCCAGCAGCGCAGCCAGTTGCATTGCGTTTGCGCTTGCTGCACCAGCTTTACAAACTTTGGCTGGGTTGACTTAAGCGCACTTGCATAATGCAGTGGACCGCACGGTGGCCACAGTCTGCCTGCCTGGTCTAGGTGCACCATCTTGAACAGTATGTTCATGCTGCAAAATGGGCATGCCATTGCTTGGAGCAGATAAATGGTAGCGTGCTTACACCTTTGGCCAAAAAGGCTGCGGTTATGTACAACTACAGTTTCAACTCTTGTAATGTTGGTGCCGTGTGCTGCAAAATGCTACTGAGCAGGTGTAACGCTACAGAATGCTTTAAATAAGAGGGGGGGTTCTCTTTTTTTTCTATAGCATTTTGTAGCGTTACAGTTGGGTTTGCGCCCACGTTTTACACAAGGCGGCAGCTTGCAGTTTTGCTACAGCTTAGCTTGGCTTGGCTGGGCTTTGCGCAAGAATAAGGCAATCACAGCGCGCAGCCTACAAGCCTGGAGAGCCGCGTAGTGCCCGGCGTTATGAAGCAGTACCTTGGAGCCCCAAGCTGCCCTCCCTTGTCTTTAAGGCGCAACGTGTTAGAGAGACGCTTTGTGGACTGGCCAACGCCCCCTTCGTCCTACGATCTAAGCCCGTGGGGCGTGCTGCCGGACCTAAGCTTTGTGAAGGGCTGCTGCAACGCAAGGCAATTCTGCCTAAATTTGTTGCCGGCATTTCCGCGCAGGTCGGCGCTGCAACGCTGCGGCGCGTCCGGTGGCCGGGTTCTTACAACCCACATAAGCGGGTCAAAGTGCGCAATGATCTTGCGCTAAGCACCAGCGCGTCGCCCTTCAGAAGCCGTTGCGGGCGCGTCGTCAGCGCGCGGCTGCAGACCGGCTGGCTTAAACCACTTTGCAACCAACACCAACTTGGAGCTGTGAATGGACAAGATGGAGCACCACATAATCTTCCAATTTGTTCCGCTTGGCCGACTGCGTCCCAAGTGTCTGTAAGCAAAGCAAAAAGGACAGACTCGGCTTTTGTGCAGCACAGCATGGGTTCAAAACCCACTGTTGCAAATTGCATGCTACCCAGGTCTCCGACTGGGTGTCTACAGAGTCATCCGTTTCAGAGCCCGAGTCCGCCGAGGAGTCCGAGTCCTCCTGCAGCGCGGGGACCTCCGCAGGCTCCAGAACCCAGTCCGCCGGGAAGCCATACCTCTTGAAGCAACGTTCGCACTTGCCATAGGCCTCCTGCTCCGTCATGTAATCCAGCACGGAGAGCTCCTGGATCTTAGAGGCCGCCGGTCGCCACCCGCACCCCACAGCCGTGCCTTCGTCATTCAGCAGGTGTGCCCGTGCGTTTGACCGCCGCAACAACACGAAGGGGGAAGTCCGGGGTGGTGGGAAAGGTCCTTGGCCTTCACTGGTGTGTCCTCGGGCCCCTGTTCCACCAATGACCATGAGCGAGTCGATGGTGCGCTTTGTCAGGGTACCGTGGGGGATGCCTCCCCTTCCCTTTCGGTTTGGTCCCTGCAGCGGGCGAAACCCAGGATGAATGCGTCCAGAGCCGGCCGCCTGCGTACCGGGGCCGGTGGCACCCTGGTGATCGTAGCCAGCCCCTTCCTCCAGAGCCCATATGACCTCTTTGCTGGGGCTTACGCTGTGGCCGGGTGACCGTGTCCGTGAGCGCCTCTTCCAACGAGCTCTTCTTCGATTTGAGGCGATGGAGCTCGTCTATCTTCAGCATACCGAAGGTCTTGGAAAACCATTTGAGGGTGTTCCACACCTGCCGTAGCTTGTATGGGGTGACCTCCTCTTCAGCGAGCTGGTTGAGGAGAGAGCGGACATGTCGTTCCTGCCATGGAATCACCGTGAAGCCTCTCTTCCGGAGACTCTCGTAGACCAGGCAGTGTTGCCTGAGTGTCCGGAACCTATTATCCCCCAGGAGGTCCAA